CATAGAGGGGGAGTATCACCTCCTTGGATCTGCTTGAGATGCATCTGTGGAAGCATGACAAGGTGTGGTTGGCCTTCCTGACTGCATCCCCACACTGCCGGCCCATGTTCATCTTGGCATCAGTGATGACTCCAAGATCCTTTTCTGCCTCTGTACTGCCGAGAAGGGAGTTCCCCAGCCTGTAGGTATGGTGCTGGTTCTTCCTCCCCAGGTGCAGCACCTTGTACTTGCCAGTGTTGAATCCCATCCTATTCTCATCCTCCCACCCCTGTAACCTGTCTAGGTCCAGCATTTTCCTCTTTGAATGTGAATGATGTCTGTTTGCACTGTCTTTGTCTGCAACTCTAAGAAAATACCCTTCTGTCAGCTTAAAAAAAAGCTTCACAGAGGGTGTGTCTACACGTTGCTGTAGCAGTGCACATGTGATCATCAGCTACTTTGCACTACTCCAGCAAGGTATCAGCAAAATCTAACTGTGCACTATGCACACGGCATATTACAGGCGGTTACTGTGCTATGTTTTAGCACTTCCAAAAGGAAGTACTAAAATGTGATGCTGTAGCAATGTCACTGTATGCCAATGTGTAGACACACCCAGAATCAAGTTAATTCATCATCTGTTTTTATCCTTATTTTATTATCCAGCGATTTTTTAACTTGTAGTAGTAGGCATGAATTAACTAACCTATTTATAAATCTGAATGTGGACAGGATATATAGCTCTTCTGCTAGTCTTGTTTAAACATAAGGCAGCCTTATCCTGTCTGTTGATGTCCTTTTGAGATCTATGATGATGATCTGCCCAGAATGTCCATTATTGTATTGTCTATGACAGCAAGCAGCATGTTGTTGTTATGTCAATCCTACGCTTCACTTTTGGTCACCAAATTTTTCCCTCACCCTTCTATTGAAAGTCAGAATGAGAGTGATAATCCAACCTACTCTTGTCTAGTGTATATAGTTTTCTAGAACTATATCTTGTTCTTCTAAGATGTACATAATGATAATATTTTGAGATACTATGACACCATTATTATACACTATAATTCCCTCAGGGTACTTTATAAACTTACACTTTCTCACAATACCTGATGAAGATGATGACCACTGTACATGTTTAATTGAGATGGCTAGAGGTGGCTAAATATTAGTATACCCATTTTCTCAGGTAAGTCAAGTGAATTTTCCAGAATCACACAGAAAACCAGAGGGTGGATCTGGGAACTGAGCTCCACAGTTCTGATTCTCAATTTTTTTTAATTGTCTAATCAGAATGTCTTCACTCTAAATGAGGCTTTGTCCCTTTCTAAGTATTTAAATATATTGCAATCTCTTCAATACCATGATGTGGGGTAGTTGTTGACAAATTTTCACACTTTTTTAGTGATAATTGGTACAATGTCATAATATTTCTTCAATGTCTGAGTTCAGTTTGGTCAACAACATAAAAAATTGCATTCACTGTGTGCATCTACACATTCATTAATGTGCTGTAGTTACTGCACAATAAGTTTAGTACTTGCATAAGCAAATACTAAATCAATATGCAGTAGCACCAGTTACTAGGCTACTGCATAGTTAGTGTCTCTTGTAGATGCACCCACTGTTACTAAAGTAAAGCTCAAATAGTAAAATGACTCCTGTTACCATACATTCTTTTGGCACCATTCCTTTTGTAAAGCAATTTTTCTTGCCTTTCCATACTCTGAGCCAACAGATTAATGCTACCTCAGTTCAAGCTTTTACCTGCCAAGAACTTTGAAGACTGTTGAGTGCAGCATGCTTTCAGAAATGACCCTCTGCTGGTTTTTTGATTCAAGTTCTATTTTGTAATCTGTGGCAGCATCTGCTCAGTTTTCCTTCCAGCAGTGGGTAACTCCACTATTATGAACTGACCAACAGCAGAACATTTACCAGAGTATAGGCTTTAGAAGGGTTAATCTCCTGGGTCATTCAGGAACAATGGGGCATGTGAAAGTTGCACAAAAGTATCTGTGTCAGCATGCCACTTCTCTGGGTCTCTGGCCAAATGTAACATCATTGCCTATCCAGTGTCCCTGCCCTGAACTCAGTTTGATCCTTCAAGGTCAATGCGATCTTCCCCTCCCATAGAAGCAGAGAACCTATCCATCACTAGAAATACATCTCTTCTTTTGATTTAAGGCTAAATTTGCTCTCCTTCATGTGTTACCATGGCATTGTATGTTTTGTGACATTTTTAAGTTTCCTTAGTAAGTCTTTACAATATGTCCTTACAATTTAAAGCTCTTGAAAAAAATAGATTGGAACCAATGTCACTCCATGAATGGGGAGTTTAATTTCACTCAAGTATATGATCAACCTCAGAGGTCCTGCCTACAGAGAAGAACTGGGATGCAGACCTCAAGATTACTAGGATATAAGCATTGTATGTGTCCAAAAGCCTAGCAATGGGGAAATTGTTGAAAAGCTGCTAACTGCCATTTGTAGATCATTTGTTTATTAACAGAGTAATATATTATGCAACAATTACTGCATGGTCATGCATATCTATTCCCATTCCACAGTGCCAGTAGCCAGAAAATAAGCTTGTTTCCAAATTTCTCCTAACTCACAGCACAAATTCTAGCCCATCAGCAGAATGGCCCTAACAAGCCACAGGGCATAGATACTCTTATATAAAGGCATGCACTCAGCTGAATTAGAGCAAAATTCGTCTTCTAGGACAGGGACGGGGAATGTCCAGCCCACAGGCTGGATCTGGTCAGCTGCAGACTCCATTTCCCAGCTACCTATGCCCACATGGCTTGTGGTGCTCTCCATAGAGACCCCAGCCTCAGCCACACTGGCAGTGCATGTAGCAGAGCAGTGCTCTGGAGCTGGTGGAAACATAGGATGGGGGCAGCTTACTCTGGAGCCAGGGCAGAGCTGCAATGTGTAGCCTGTGCACACACATGCAAGGGACCGTGGCACTGCCCCAGCTCCTTGCAG